GCTCCGGGCTGCGGGGGTGGCGCGGCGCGGGGAGGGGCGCGGGTGGGGGGAGCGGCGGGCAGGCCGGGCATGGCGTCGATGGCGGCGGCGATCGCGGCCTCGCGCTCGGCGGTCATGAGCGGGAACCGGCCTCTGGACGACCGGGAGCGGAAGCGCTTCACCTACTTCTCGTCGCTGAGCCCCATGGCCAGGAAGATCATGCAGGACAAGGAGAAGATCCGCGAGAAGTACGGGCCCGAGTGGGCGCGGCTGCCGCCCGCGCAGCAGGACGAGATCATCGACCGGTGCCTGGTGGGGCCGGGCGCCCCGGCGCCCCGCGCCCCCGGGGACCCCGGGGACTCCGAGGAGCTGGCGCGCTTCCCCGGCCTGCGCGGGCCCACGGGCCAGAAGGTGGTGCGCTTCGGGGACGAGGTAGGTGCGGGCGGGGCCGGGGACCCTCTCCCCTCCCCTCGTGGCCCCTCCAGGTTGCGGGGGTCCGGGCTGGCAAGAAGGCGCGGAGATGGGAGTGGGCGCGAGGGGCGTCCCAGGGCCGGGGACGCGGGGCTAGGGGCTCCCCAGGGGGAGTTTGAGAATCGCCGTGAGGAGGGGTCTTTGAAGACCCTCCATCTAGACTTGCTCTGCTGGGCCTCACCGGATCCAGAGACTTCTCCGAGCCATAGGCTCGGACCAGAGTGGAAACGGCAAGGAATTTTCAGCCAGCCGAACCTGAGTTCTGATCCACTTTGCTACTTGGCTGTATGGCCATGGGTGACTTAACCTCCTAGAGCCTCAGTCCCCACCCCCCTTCCTGGTGTAAGCCGGAGATAATGATACCCACCCCGTGCCTGCCAGGGAAGGCGCTCCGAAAGTTATATGTATTAATGTTAATATTTGTGATGAGCTGTATGGGGCAGGTGAAATTGTCAAGCAAGATAAGGAGAAGGAAGAGGTGCCTTCCAGGGTTAGGAGGCAAAACCGAAGATGTTTCCCTAAAATGTTTTCCGGGTGAGCACGCTGTGCAGCTTTGGTTTGGGGTGAGCACAGAGCCCCGTTTTTCCATCAAGAAGCTAAGGGATGAGTTTAAATGGGCTCCAGCAAGCCTTTGCTACATATAAGGGCATGTCTGCATCTCTGATCTGGACACTGTGCCCACACTTCTAGAGGAGAGAAACACTGTAAACCGTACAGGAAAAAACTCAGGGATGCCCCCTTCTAAGTCACAGAGGCCTGGGTGTTCAGTGCCGCTTGGAAACTTGGTCTTTTTCTTTTCTTCTTCTTCTCCTTCTTTGTTTCACTGAAGCCTCTTTGGTGCCATTAGAATTTGCACTGTGCCTGGCTGGCCTTTCACACTGAACTTTTACCATGAAGGGGTAAGTCAAAGGAGCAAGAAGTCTAAAAAGAAGTATACAAATGAAACCCGCATTTGTTAAGGCTGTGAGGCTGCGCTTGGCAACTTTTTCGGAGGGTGTCGTGGACTGGGGAAGGAAAAGACGGCGAGTTCTAAATCTGATTTTCAGACTTGGGTGTGCTGAGACATTTATTAGTACAAAATGTTTGCGATCATAAACCCACTTACATGTGAGGGATGTGTGAAATGCGCTGGCACCACTGCCGCCTTCTGACTGAATTCAAAGAAAAGTCTCCATTGCACTTGAAACTCGGAAGGCTTTGCCAGGAAAAACGGGTGTGGTAAACTGGAGGCATGAAAGTATAGGTTCAAAATGTATTTGAGAGCTGAAACATTTTCCGTGTGAAAATCCGCACGTGTATGCAAACGTTTGCAAGTGTGTGTGCTCAGGTTCGAGCGATGAAAAAACATGCATTCTCTCTTTGGAAAAGTCATGAGTAAGCACGTATGAGAGGAAGTAAACTTGTAAGTATTTAACAGATGTTGGAGAGTGACTGTCATTTGTCCTTAGCTTGGCGTCCGGCTAAGAATACCCGCATGCCTGCTCATCATTAAAAGGCCCTTGCCATATAAGGGCTCAGTATCACTGATAAGGAAAGATGTGGCCAAGTTCATTTTGTGCTCCAGTTCCTTAACTGGGTACCACACTGAGCTGTTTCGGAGTCTGTAAACCCAGTGTGATTTAAAAGCAAATGGAACTGTTCAGTGTGGGACCTGCATGCTTCTCCAGGAGCAAAGCCGCCCTGCTTTTCCCACAAAACGGGCTGGGAACGTGCCCTGACGTGGCTCTGACCAACTTTAGCGCAGATGGGCAGAGAGATAGAAGACACCAAATTAGAGGAGGGGTACTTAGGAACATTGCCCGTGGGGTATTTTTGCTTGGGGTGGCTGTGTGGAATAATGGGACTAGGGGGTTTAAAATGCATTTCCCGAGACCTGGCAGGAGGTTGGCCCCAGACTAGTTGGTGGTCCAGGAGGAGAGCTGTTCATGGAGAGGGCTGGCTCCTAGACACAAGGGACGATGGATGGAGACGGGGGTGGGGAGTGACCGTGGGTAGGCTGGCAGACAGAGTGGCCCAAATAGGTGACCCAGGTTTGTCCAGAAGGGCCCTAAACCAGAGTGAGTAGGGCACTTTGTTCCTTCCCACTTGATCTGTCTTCTGGTGTCCCAGGGGCCTCGGCAGCCAATCATGGAATGGGGGACAATGCTCTCCAGGGCCCTCCAGCGTCCTACCCTCTCAACTCCCCCCCCCCCCCCACCCCCGCCCCCGCATTCCCTGCCCCACATCTTCAGACAGACCTCTGATGGCTTGGTGCTTTGAGTGAATCAGCTCTCTCTGGAGCCACTGTCTGACCCTAGACGATGAGCAGGGACTATTTTTAGTACTTCAGCGAAAGATTACCGGCCTCCTGGCTTTTGAGGCCCTTTCCTAAGGCTGAAGTAGGAGGACTCTGGGCTTTGCAGTCAGTCTTGAGTTTTGGCTCCCCCAGCTTTTTGACCGGGGTGAAATCACAGACCTCTCTGAGCTTCAGCATTCTCGCCTTTGCGATGGGAGTGACATAAACAGGATGAGTAGAGAGCGAATGTCCACGAAGGGCCTGTGGGCTTACAAGACGGTGAGAATGCCATTGACCCTTGACCAACATGGGTTTGAAGCGCGTGGGTCCATTTATATGCAGATTTTTTTCCTGATCAGCACAGTCCTGTAAATGTGTCTTCTTTTCCTTATGAGTTTCTGCATAACATTTTCTTTTCTCTTACTCTCTTGGAAGAATACAGTAAACACACATAACTCACGAAATACATGTTAATCGACTGCTGATGTGACCGGTAAGGCTTCTGGTCGATAGTAAGCTATTAGTTAAGTTTTGGGGGAGTCGGAAGATTACATGTGGATTTTGAACTGCACAAGTGTCCCTAACCCCGGTGCTATTCAAGTGGCAACTGTATTAGCCCGTCTCTGTTTCCACTTACAAAAATCATTATTGTGAAATAAACATATTCTTGCTGCTGCTAAGCCTGGGGTTGTCTAGTCGGGGTTGGCCAGTTGGAGTTGTCCACGTGAGAGGGAGCTCTGACCTGGGGGGCTCTGGTGCTGTGCTTTGGGGCACGTATTTGAAGCTTTGATTTGCTCTGTCCACAGCCTGGCCATGATGTGGCCTGTCTCCGGATCGGCAGTGACATCGGCCTCAGATTGTGCCACCCCACCCTTTCAGCTACCCTGAAAGGCAAAGACATCACCTGTTTCTCTGAATACCCTGTCCCCCGTTGCCAGTAACATTTTTGTATCCCACATTTTAAGTCATATGTGACCAGCATCTAGTCATTAGAAACCTGATTGTGTGTGTGTGTGTGTGTGTGTGTGTGTGTGTATGTGTGTATAAATATATATAGATAGATAGATATTTATATACACACATTTTTTTTTAACGTTCATTTATTTTTGAGAGAGCACACAACAGAGCGTGAACAGGGGAGGGGCAGAGAGAGAGGGAGACACAGACTCCGAAGCAGGCTCCAGGCTCCGAGCTGTCAGCACAGAGCCTGATATGAGGCCGGAACTCTGGAACCATGAGATCATGACCTGAGCTGAAGTCAGACGCGTAAGTGACTGAGCCACCCAGGGGCTCTGAAACCTGATTGCATAATGATGGCCATCGATTCTGGTGGCCACGAGTATGGTCAGGGGGGACTGCTCTGTGTAGGACTGCTCAGCACTGTGGCATCTGTGTTCATTTTTACCCTCGCTGTCTGTACAGAGAGAAGACCAGGGCTCAGATCCCCCCCCCCTTGCCGGGATGACCAGCCTGGCACAGGAGGAGATTGGCTGCCTTTGTGCATTGGCCAGGAGGGGACCCGTCAGTTTTCAGTTTTTACTTCCTTGGGACTCAATTCGGCAAATGTTTCTCAGCCTATTATGTTAGAAACGAGAGGCCCTCTGGCTTTAGGACTGCTTAGGCTGCCCGTAATTTTCACCACCTCCTTTAAAAACTGCCCCCTCGGGCATACGATCTTCGTACAGTTTCCACGCAAGGCCGCCAGCCCCTCCTGCCCCCCCATCCTGTCCCCAAGCAGCTCCTGTCAGAGAATCTGGAGCTCCTGCTGGCGACATACGTCTCTCCTAGCAAAAGAAGCGGAGTGTCCCCAGACCTGGCTTCCATTCCGGCCATGTCACCAGCAAGGCGACCCCTGCTCAGGGCGTAGGTCTCCCTCCATGAAATGAGTGGCAGTCCCGGCTTGGAGCGACATAGATGCTGGGACATGCCCTTCTGGTCCCGTACGTGGTATGAACGTTAAGGCGTGTTTGCAAGAGGATGCCTTTCGCAGTCCGACTTCCCCTGCCACCCTCTAGCAGTAAAGTCTGGGGAATGGCTTACTCTGGGAGATGAGAAGGTCTTCGTTTTAGAAGGTTTTCGAGATCACCCAGTCTGCTTCTGCTGCTTGCCGTTATCAAGTAGGGGGGAGAAAAAAACCCCCAAAGCTTAATGTTTGCGACCACTCCCAAACCCCTTGCCACCCGTCTCGCAGGATCTGGGTCACGTTCTAGGCTCCACACAGGGACCCAGCAGATAAGCCTGGAAATTTGGTGTGTTGACTTCTCCCGGACCCACTTGTGCCTCCCGCCTCGAGTAAAGTAGGTGAAGCCGGGTAGGAAGGGTGTTGCCGTGTGCCAGCCCCCAGCGACCCTGATCTGGATTTTGCACGTTGCAGAACACAGAGGTTTAGGGCCCTGGGGCCACACAGCGCCACCCCCTCTCGAACAGCTGAGCAAGACCAGCCGCTGTGGGAAGGAAGTGTCCCTCCTGGGCACCCACCTCCGGCCCCCTCCCGCAGGGATCTGGGGGCTGGCTGGCTGCCCCCTTGCCCCCCTCCGCCTTCACCTCCGTTTCTGGGGCTGAGCCTTGGCCTCCCTGACTCCCTTGACACCCTCTGCACGGCCTGCACTTCTCGGGCCTCTGGGGGTCCATGCCTTGCCAACCCCCCCTCCCCCACCCCTTTCGCCCTTGCTCCCAGCCTTTCCCA